TTAAATATAATTAAAAAATTGAACTTAAAATTTTTAAAATTTAGCTAAGAGATGCAAAATATTTAGGTTAAAAGATCCAAAATATTAGAATACATAGACTTTTTTAATAATTTTCTCTGAGCCCAAGGGATACATTTGCCCACCTCGACTTCAATGTAGCACCGCCTATGATCATTGCCATATTTTATTTTCTGCATAATACGGTAGTTTTTTGCTTTTCTTTTGTGGTTTATTTAATTATCTGTTTTATTTTTGTTGCATCAATTTATTCTTATTGGTAATTTTGTTGTGTTTTATCCTTGTGAAGGTTGTTATGGAACTATGATTATGGACTGCAACATTAATGCTTTTCTATTGTTGTTGAATGTTGTTGGAGATTGTTATCATTTTATTGTGATTAGGTTTTAACATTTTGTGATAAGTTTTATGATTATAGGTATTTTTGTACCAATTGAATTGTTGCTTCCCAAAAAATTAAAATACAAATAAAAAACAAATTCAAATACTAGATTACCTAAACTAGTCTTTCAATTTTATAGATCAAGTTTAGTCCAATTCATCTTGAATTCTTTTTAAATTGTACTAGATAATGTGTTGCCTAACCTAATTTCTTCCCTAAAATAGACTAAACATCAAGTTATGTATGGGACTGTCATTAATAATGATGGTTTTATGGGTATTTCAAGAATACCTTTAATATTTTTATTTAATGTGTTAGTATATACTATAATTTGAATTCAAAATTCTAAATATTTCAATTTTTTTTTAGTCAAGATCAAGAGTAACTTTAAGACTTTTTTTTTTGGGGGGGGGGACTCCTATATCGATGTCATATAGAAAAGTTTAATGTGCTTAACTTTTTTTTTTTTAAGCTTTTGGGCCAAAACTTGTTTTTGATATTATGCAGGAAAAATGATTTTAAAATTTCATACAAGGAATTTAAATAAATTTTTTATGAAATTATAAAATCACTCAAAAATCTTATATTCTTTACTAAAATTGTCAACCGCTAAAATTTATTAATTATTACTACTTAATATTAATTGAACAACTCTATTAATAACTTTTTTAGTAGTAATTGACAATTTTACAATAATAAATTAACGACATGAGATTTCAAATTTATTTTATAATTTTATGATTCGTTTCTATACATAAACTATTCCTTGTGTAAAACCTTGGAGTGTTTCTTTTCCATAAAATTAAATAGGTGTAAATAGTGACTCAAATTTCACTATAATAATGTTTAAGACTTGATTAATTATATTGTCTAATTTGTTTGATCAGAAAATTATATTGTCTAATTAACAATGAGTTTTATTCCATTTATTTTTTTTTCCATATTACAATATGAAACACTTTAAAATTCCATACTTGATTCAATAATTGGGACTTTGTTGGTTTGTGTGTCGCATGGGTATCGTATATAGGAACCCCCTACGTCTATCATTTGAGGATTTTTTTTTTAATAAATATATATTTGTGATTTTTTAAAACAAATTTAAGGACACCTGATGTAAACTTCTAATAAATTATGAGCTTTGATTCTGATATTTATAGTTAACAATATCAACATTGGAAAAAAATCATGAGCACGAAAGATAAAGATAATTAATTAAAGAATAAAAAATTAAATTAACGCCTAAATATAGATTTATTAATATCTCAAACTCTAAACTCATTTTTAGCAAAATATTTTTTTTAATTTTTTAAAACAGTACAATCTAATTTTTATTGTTAATAAAAATTAATTTTGACTATCAGTTAACTAAAAGATAATATAAAAGGACACCAAAGATTATAAAAAATGATCAAAAAAATTTTATTAGTCTTGTTTTACAATTTTTAAATCCTTATTTATAATTTTTGAGTTCTTTTCGGTATTTTTCAGTTTATTTTTTATTATTTTTTTGTCAGTTGTCTCTTAAAGTTAATTTTTGTTAACAATAGATATTAAATTACATCATTTTAAAGAGTTGAAAGGAATATTATATTAAAATTAAGTTTAAAATCTTAAATACTTTTGACTTATAAATTAGAGACCAATTTTCCATTCAAACATTAATTAAATTGACACAGGTTAAGAAAAAAAATAAGAAAAATTGTGTTTGTTTAGTAAAAATGGTTATGTATAAAGAATTCAAAACCACTAATCCACATTGTATATTGCTTACCTTAAATCTCTCTCTCTCTCTCTCTCTCTCTCTCTCTCACTCACACGTGCGAACACATTCAATCACTACTTGGGTTCGAGATATTTTTTCTGTACATAGATTTAAAACATTGACCTTACTTTTAGAAAATATGATCTCTTCCACTCGGTCTAATTAATCATGCATCGTTGGTTTCTCAATATTATGTTTAGCTAGTTCAATATTTATCTTTGCCAAAAAATTAAATAATTAATTAAGCATGTAAGATTATTTTAATTAATCAAATATTATTTAAATAATTAAGCATGTTGAAGCATTTTTCTGTCATTCCATTTTCTTGGAGTGCGAAAATTCAAGAGAATATAATGAAATTTTTTTAATTAAACAATGACAAATAATTTAGAAAGAAACTAAACTTTATGGAGCGCGGATACCACGAGAAAGGCACAAGTTGGTTCCTTAATTTATTCTTTTACTTCGATCTTTAATTAAAAAATTAAAATTTATAGAGGGACAATGAAGCTTTTGGACCATTATTAAATTTTTTTCAATTATCAAATTGGTCCTTAAAACACAAATTAAGAAGTTTTTATAATTATATTTTCAACTATACCCATACTTTATTTATTACTTTTTTTTTAAAAAAATGATGCATAGCATTTTTCAATTATTATTATTAAGGTGGAAAAATGTAAACTTTTTTAAAAGATCAAGGTTTTACTAAATTTTTTTAAGCCGTAAAATAATCATCAATATTATATATTTTGATTTAGAGGGAGTAACTATTTTTATTAGTATGTGAATTATCGTCGGAAGTCTCTTACAATTTGAATTGAAAAGAGTATATATAAGTGTGTGTATTGCAAACTAAAAATTTTAACAAATTTTTTTTAAAAGACTATATACAATAATAAAATGTAAATGATAGTGAGAGGACAGGTCATGTAATGATAGAGAGAAATTAAATAACATTGTGATTGACATGAATAAAGTCTTTTATCCACATTCTTCCTTCTCTCTTATTTTATGTATGGCTATGATATCTTTATCATTTTTACCTTTCTATAATCCACAATTATTCTAATCCATTTTATTTTTTTAATCAAATCATTTCATTATATTACATTTCTATTCAACAATAAAACCACCTCAAAGAAGATTGGATTGTAACTTTAAACAGCATTATAAAAAAAAATTGAACAGATCACCAATCCACTAATTGAAAACCCACGAAGCACTAATTCATGTTTCCACTCTGGGAAATGTTTCTTAGTCAACAAGGAATTGGAAAAAAAGTATTCTCTTCTTTTAATTTATTGTTTAGTTTGCCCGTTTGCTTGTGCCTTCTGCGTGGAATCCACACTCCCTCCGATAATATATAATTATATCACTCATCATTTCATCATTAATTTCTTAATCATGAATTTGTTGTTTAATCATACTGCTAATCAACAGATAGGCTTCCACTAACCTTGCTTGTGCAAGCCACACTCCCTTCATTTTTAAAATTGCCACACTTTGTATTTCTCTATATATGATTAATTATGTATACCCTTTTGCTTCTTATCTCCTCAAACGAGGGAATCCAAATCCAATTACATTACAGGACCGATTCTTATCGATCTAATTATATAAGCACATTCTAGGATATTATTATTAGACATATTATTAATCAAAATCAAACCAATTACCTTAAATTTTTGAGCTAAATATGTGGTTGTGTTTGGTGCCATGACGAAAAGGGACGCTAAGGGATTGTAGAAAACCAGACGCAAATCGTTGAGATAATATGTATTATGCTTTTGTTGTTATTGTATTTTTCAACTGTGGCCATTGTGTTTAATTTGTTTTTTTTTTCCATCTAAGGTTTAAATGTATGATGATTATTTTTTTTATTATTAGGCATATTTATGTTTATCTATACTTCAAGTCTAATAAGTTTTCATGCTAGAGGGGGATGTTATATATATATATATATATATATTAAAAAAATAATCCCAAATTTTCATTTATCGGTATAAATTTTTGAAAGAGTATTTATGAATAATTTAGATGGAAAAAAAATCACAATGAAACTACTATGCATAGTTAACTAGTGGTATATGGAGCTAATAGTTTAATGGAAGAATGAGAATAAACTCTCAAAATTGAAGAGGCAATTAATAACAGTTAGATCATCAATAACCTTTTTTAAAGAATACATTATAAATATTAATTTATACAGTTATAAACAAAAATTGTAATTATAAATTGAGAATTACATTTAAAATTTAAATATCTTATTTATAATTGCAACTCCTAAATTAATAATTATTTGAATTGATATTTGCTATTTATATTTCAAATAAATTTATCAAAGATGCAATTATCATTAATGGTCACTTCTAGGACTTAATTGTCATTCTTCCTAATTTGTAATTAGTGCTTAGGAATGCAACTGCCTTAAATGTTTATTGAAAAACTTTGGTTCCTCATGTTTCTACTTGGCTCAAATCAAATTAGTTAGAGTTTAATTTGAATCCAGCTAGTTTTGACAAGATATGAGTTCATGACTATAATGAAATAAGGATATATATATATATATATATATGAGATAGACACACATGCATATACTTATGCACTTATATATATATATATCTCTCTCTCTCTTAGTATATACAAAGTATTCATTTTTGAAGAATTATTAAACAAAATAAGTCATCACCGTTCTGAGTGCTCTCCACTCTATCACCACTACTTCATCACTAAATGATTGAGGCCCATAATCTCCAATGCAACCCAATGCTATTGCTATATGACACTTCTCTATATAATACCTTCTTCTCAATAAGAGTCATGTACTTCAAAAACACTTCCTTCCTTGAAATTTCTCTTCAATTCTATCTTCACCATTAACATATATCTATGGCTTCTTCTCATCATAATAACCCTAAGGAAACCCTACCAAGCCATGTTGAGATCCCTGTAATTAACCCTAATGAAGAAGAAGACCACATCAACACCATTAACTACTCTCAAAGGGCACAATGGCTTAGGGCTGCAATGTTAGGAGCCAATGATGGGCTGGTTACTGTGACTTCACTCATGATAGGTGTTGGTGCTGTCAGACAAGACATCAGAGCCATGCTCCTCGCCGGCTTCGCGGGTCTAGTCGCCGGAGCTTGTAGCATGGCCATAGGGGAGTTTGTGTCAGTGTACACTCAGAGAGACATAGAGTTAGCTCAGATGAAGAGAGAAAGAGCAGCTAACAACAACACAAAAGAGGTTGAAGATGATGAGAAGGACAAGCTTCCGAATCCAGTTCAGGCTGCCGCAGCATCAGCGCTGGCATTTTCCGCCGGTGCAGTGGTGCCGCTGGTCGGAGCTGTGTTTATAAGGGATTATAGGGTGAGGATGGCGGTGGTGGCTGCCCTGGCTAGCTTGGCATTGATGGTTTTCGGTGGCGTCGGAGCGGTGATCGGAAAAACTTCAGTGAGAGGGTCTTGTGTTAGGGTTGTGATCGGAGGTTGGATGGCCATGGCTATCACTTTTGGCTTGACCAAGTTAATTGGCTTCACCGGACTTTGATTATTATGAATATTATTAAGTCTGTCATGAAGCAAATGAATGCACAAACTTGCATGCTAGGTCAACAAATAGTACGGAAAATCATTTTAATTTTTCTTTCTTTCTTTGTTTCTTTTTCTTTTTTCTTTTTCCCTTTACTGATCCTCCCAGATAATGTAGGGGTTGTTGGATTGAATGAGATAAGCAGAGGAATTAGTTCCCTCTAAGCATTTCCCTTTTCCTTTTATCCATTTTTATTCAAAAAAAAAATATTGATAAAAGGCGCTAATATTAAGTACTAAATTATATTTATGAACAATTATATTAATATATGAAGATTAAAATTATGAAAACATCACGAGCAATGTTATATAATAGTGAATGTTGAGTTTTAATGAGATAGCAAGAATATAAATTTGGAATGGTAAAAATAAAAATGTTAAGATGGATGTATGAATATATACGTAAAGATAAATTTGAAATAAGCATGTAAGAGAAAAAGTGAGTGAGATATTTATTGAGGGGACAATGGTAAAAAATTATTTAAAGATAGTTTGGACATATATAAAGAAAATTGTGAGAGGCACTTGTGAATAAAGTGGAACAAATAACTTTCAACTTCATTAAAAAGGGTAAAGGAAGGTTAAAAAAAATACTTTTGAAAATTATTGAGTGATACCTCTCTTAGTTAATATTTCTAAAAGTTTGATAAATGATAAAGTATAATGGTATCATACAATTTATGCAGCCGAACCTACCTAGTAGAATAATGCTTATTATTATTGTACCAATGAGGGTTGGGTCAAATGTAGGGGATTAGTCCTTTGCAACATAACGAAACAATATTCAAATCTCTACTAAGAGATGTATCCACATTTAGTGAGTGATTGTATCTTGAATAGAATTGCTTTCAATGAGAGGAAAAGTATAAACAATCAAAAATCAAAATTTTTTGAAAACCTCTAGGCACCGATTAAGTTGTTATATAGCTAACTGGAAGTTGTTTTCCTATATAATGCATGGATTTAGTTAAGTTCCAAATTTTTTGCCATATCCAAGAGAGAATATTCCTGAGTTCCCTCATTGCAAAGAATCTAACATTTCTTGTCGTATTAGCCCTATTTTAAAAAGATTTTATGAAAGCACCATCATAAAGGAGGCCTGAATAAAAGCATATTCTCTACCCACCCCCACCTGGGTTTTACTAACAATGAAATCCCATATCATTTACCATCTCATCATTTTCCATCCATCCCCCACTTTTGCAGCACCTTGTTGCAATCTGTTGTTCTGACGAACCAAGTTTGCCCTACTCAATATAAAATTTATATACCAAAAGCATCCTTACAATTTCTGTTAAAATTTTCAAGTTTCATATTCAGGTGGTGACTTGTTGCAGCCGAAGAGTTTGAAGCTTAAAGGACCATGCATGTCCATTCTTCTGTCAGCAACAGAGGAACAATAAAAGGAATCCAAAAAAGACAATGGTTATTAGCCAAGAATCTTCCAAGAATACAAACCAGAGCTGAAATGTAACAAATGAGAAAGTAGTTGTGCTACTTGTTACTCAAACATCCTAAAACAAGACACCAAATGGGTATTCTATATGTAAGACTTTTCTCTCCAAATCAGAAGCAAAATCCAAAGACAAAAACTTCACTATGGTCATTTAAAAACCCATACGAACACAAACTCTTTCTATACCTCCTAGGATGAAACTGGTAATTCAGTGGTAACTATGTATATGCTCTCCCATGCATGTCACAACTCACAAGATACTCAGCCCATAGAGCATAATGGAATTTGACCACAACAGGTCATGCACAAGATTTCAACAAGCTTAAAAATCAGCATTTTGGAACATAAAAAGGGTATGGTGTATGTGCAGTGTATTGCACATCAGAACATTGATATCAGAGATCCATCCATTGAACAATCTCAGAACATAGTCATTGTGAATGATAATTGAAGGGATAATGGTAACTCCTCCAGTCTAAAAGATGAAAAATCACATTTACAGTTCCATTACAGCCATGATGAACAACATATATTAAGAGTGAAATTGCATGCCTCAATGAGAAGAAAAAAAATTCTATCCAGAACGAAAGCCTCCTGTTCCTCTCTGCTCATAAGGTCCAGTGCGATCACGACTATATCGATCATTTCCATAATCTCCATGTCTACCAGCATCCCTGTATCGCCCACCAGAATAACGATCAGCATTCCTATCAGGACCATAACGACCTCCACCGCCACTGCCACCATATCTACTTTCTCTGCCACCATACTTTCCACCTCTTCCCCCTTCACCAGGGCACTCTCTAGCGAAATGACCAGGTTTGCCACACTTGAAGCACTCACCACCATTAGAACCTCGACCACCCCCATAATCTCGGTAATGATTACGATCACGACCATGTTCTCGGTACCGATCACTATCATCTCTAGCTGATCCTTGTTGAGGTTTTGCCTTGTCAACAGTAATAGTTCGACCATCTAAATTCTGCCCATTCATGGCCTCAATGGCATCTTCCATAGCTTTCTGATCATCAAATGTTACAAATCCAAAACCACGAGATCGACCAGAGAACTTGTCAACAGCAACCTAGATCGAGGATATAAATGTAATGCCTTAAGAATATATGTCTGTTCAAAAGCAAGATGCATATAAATAGACAATGAACAGGTACACCCAATCATATATGATGCTTGAAAAGCTAGCTTCCACTTATAATATGTCAAAAAGCTCTTCTTCTGGTTTACTGAATTTTGATTTGAAGCCAGGACTTAGTAGAATTTACATTTATCTCACTATATCAGAAAGGATAGAAGAGAAACTGGAAACCCAATCAAAAAGTATAACATAGGCAGCATAAACGAATTTCTAAGGGGAAAAAAAAATCAACAATAACTTTCTTTTGAGTTGGCAAATGTCGAAACATTTGTAGGCACAGCTCGAACCCACAGGGTAAACATCACAAGTCGTGCCAGTTGAACCAAAGGTTCTTGGCTAATCAACAATAACTGTAAACAGTACAAGTGCAATGATAATACTGATAATACAGAAATATAGAATATGTTACCCGGGCTTCAAGAAGGTTTCCAAACTTTTCAAATGAATCCATTAACTTTCTATCAGATGTTGACCATGAAAGGCCACCAATGAAGCAGCGATACTCTTCTACTTCAGCCATTTTAAACTGCGTATTTTGAAGGAGAAAAATAATTACCACATAAAATTTTCAATTAGAAAGCCAGGGACAGCCATTCCACACAATCCACATAAGTAAGTAGATGATGAAACCTACTCAACACATGATAAAACCCTGTCAACTTCAAGCAAGGAGTAGGAAAATAAGACTCCCAATAAGTTTACAAACTTCACACGAAAAATATATAGAACTCTAGTTTGTATCAACTTCATTTATGATTAGGTCGATGGTTGATCCAAACCTTCATTTTTTTATATGATAATCTAAAACAATTTTTTTCAAAACCATTTAAAGTTTATGACTTCTGCTCCGAAGTTAAGCTAAAATGTCTATCTATCCACATTTGTGTGCGTGAACACACTTCTCTTGAAAAGAAACAAAATCAAGTAGCTTATAAAAAAAAAAATCAATAACTTCGCTAACACTGTGATTCCCTCAATAAATAGTCAAGACCTGCAAAACGTGACCCTAACCAAAACCAGTCACCATCTTCAGCGATTCTTCATTCTAGGGCCAGAAAATCCCGAACGCTACAATTCTCCAACCTCGTTCCAAAAAAAAAAAAAAAACCCGAATAGAGCCTAATGAAAAATTTCTAAGCAAATAGTCACGCTCAAAACGTTGCGGAATCAATATAATTCAAATCGGAACCACGCAAATTCCGGAGAAACAAAATCTTGACAGGAACAAAATCTCTTAGAAAACGTCAAAACGAAGACCCTTACCGGAGGAGAGAGAATTGTTCTGCGAATACGTCAAGAGTTGATTCGCCGTGGAGGAAAAGCAACGCAGAGTGAGAGTGAAGGACGATAAGTCGATAACAGAATGGAATCGGCAGCAGCTCTGCTTAGTGCGCGCGCACGCATATCATATATATATATATGTATGTATGTATGTGTGTGTGTGTGTGTGTGTGTGTGTGTGTGTCACACGTGCCAATTTTATAGGTATATGTAATTATTCAATATTATGACTATATTTTTTGCCAGAAATTTTAGCGCAATTATATTCATAATAAATTAATTCATTATTTTTAAAATTATACATTTTTAGTGAATTTATATTTTAACAAATTAGTTAATTATTTTTAAAATTCAAAACACGTTGTTTTTATTGAGTGTGCTAAATGCTCATTAAGACTGAGAGTAATCCTGACTCTTCATTTTATTTTAAAATATGTGTCATTCATTTCATTTAATTTTTAAATATTTTAATATTATATTTATTAATTTAAAAAATATAATTTTTTTAATATTTTATCTAGGCTGTCATGACTATTTATTAGAAAATGAGCACCATAATACCCATCACTTTTGAAGAGGTTTAGATCATTTAAATTTAAAAATTTTTATTTTTATTTTATATTTAGTAAAATAAAATTTATAAAATATAAAAAATTTAATAAATCTATTCATTATCAATCTGGCTAATATAAATTTAATTTAAAAAATTTAATTTAATATTAAAAATTTTTATAATTTGATTGTCCAGATTGACTTAGTTCAGATATAATTTGAATAATCTAATTTAATACTAAAAAATTATAAATTAATCATTTACATGTGTTCTAGATAGTTCAAATTTAATATTAAAATTTTTATATTTTTAATTAATAAATGTAATATTAAAAATATTTAAAATTAATTTAAACAAATGATAAAAATTATTTTAAAATGAAATAGAGGACTAGAATTAAGATAAGAAAGAGCACCAAATGCACACGCCTCTTATAAGAGAGATCGGACAATTCCATGAATGTTTGCGAACTTGATAGCAAAAGAGGGACCTTAAGGTAAGAGTTGAAATAGGTTAGGCCGAGTTATATTTTGATCAAATAAGTCTAAATCTGCATGATAAATTAGAAGTTTGAGTCTGATCTAAAGTTTGTATAAGACATTTTTCACAGCTTAGGCTTGAGTCTGTCTAAAGCCTAATTTAACTTGAAAGTTTATTTAAAAGCCTACTTAAAAAATAAATTTTTTAAATAGGCTCGCATTTTAATTTTAAATATCTTAAATATACTTTAACATTATTATAATATATAATTTATAACTTGATTTATAAATTATAATATATAATGATTGAAAGGACTGACTATCTACAATATAATTTAACAATAAAATAACAATATTAATATTAATATATAATATGATTGAAAATATAACTAGAAATACAAAAAAAAATAGATTGATTAAAAATTAAATGATAAAACTAATATGTTTGTGATATATTACATAATATATATATATATATATATATGTTGGCTTGTTGGGCTCGTAGGTTAGGCCTTGAAAAAATAGGTTTGATCTTTTTAACTAAATAGGCTTAACTAAAAGTTTGAATCTGGCCTGCGTCTATTTAATAAGTAAGCTTGAAATAGGTTGGGCTGTAGGTAGAGCTGGGAATAAAAGTTAGGTCGAGCTTAAAGGCCTTATTTAAATAAGGGTTCAGGCTTTAAAAATAATTTTTTTAAAATAACTAAACTTGAAGACTTAGCCCTGATAAGCACTATAAAAAAGGGTTCGGGCCTAGGTATCTTTTCAAGCCTTATTATACTATTATTAATTTTTTTCTTTAATGAAACATGCCTTTAAAACCAATGACCTGCTCACTTGAAACTCTAATCCTACATATATTATATTATCATTAATTTTAATTTATTATAAAATTAATTTAATATAATTTGATAAGTATCAGTGTATAGTATAAAATTTTTGATATTTTTATTTTCCTATAATTATTATGTTTGTGTATTTATAAAAAATGAATTATTTTTTAACCAAGATTTAAATTTTATTACTAAATTTCTAAATGTGTATTGTTTAATTTCTCAAATATTATGAGAATTTTAATTTTTTTAATTTTAAAATATTTTAATTAATTTGTAGTGCTTAATTTTATTTTAATTTTTTAAAATTTTTTTATAATAGGGCTTACGAGCCTGGCCTTGAGCCCTTTAAATAAGAGTTAGGTTTTGAAAAAAGAGTTTAAAATAAAAAATCCAGCTTAAGAGCTGAGTCTATAAGTTTTTCAACTCTAGTTGGAGGCCTCTGTTATGGGTTTGGTTTATTTTCACCCCTACCCTAAGGTAATGCTGGGTTACATGTGTTTGGAAAAGTAACTAAACTAATCAAATTAAACTTTCAAAAGCTAATTGGTATAGTATCTTCACAGCTAAACTAATAAAATTCTGAAATTAGAGCTAATTGTGCTATTCAAAAATTATAAGTATGATAATTTATCTCTCAAAATTTATATAACACATAGGAAAACTATTTGTCTTTAACATGTAATCTGAAATATAAACTAATAAAAGAAATACTCCCTTAGCCCAAAAAAATGTAAGTAATTTTTTAAAGAGTTAGATGTTCAAAAATATAAAGTATTTTTAATTTTTTAAGATGTAATCATTGTCTTTTTTTTAAAAAAATGTCCTTATTAAATAAATCATTTTATATTCATTTTTTTGTAAATTTTTATATTCAATTTAAGGTAAAATATCTTATTAAATAAGGATAACTGTAAAAAAATAGAGGTAGTTTGACGACAAATAATTATATTATTAAGGCTTAAATTTAGTTAAAAATATTTTATATTTTTTAGCCGAGGGTAAAATATTTTGTTTCCAACGTGATACAAATGTACAAGAGATACCATAATAAAAAGGAAGAACAAAAGATTTATTCGCTATCATAATAGGTAGATCTAATTAAAGGAAAATAAATCTAAAGAAAAATAAATTTCAAATAGATTTATAAAATAATTCGCATATTTAGAATCTTTTATATACATACTTACATATTACATATTTGTAGTCAGTATCCATTGTTTTACAAAATAATACGCATATATGTTTTTTTAATTGTTTTTCCTATCCGTTTAAGAAAGAATAATCTTTTTAAATGAGTCAGTTTGAATTTCAAATAGATAGAGTTATAATTTTTTTAACCGACACATTTATAATTTATTAGAAAATATATATTAATTTTATTGCAAGATTTTTTTTTGAAAAAAAAAAGACATGTGTCATGAATATACGAATTTGCATAGAGGGACATATGTCATGAATATACAGCTTGTTTTATGAATTCATTTCCAATATATTTAAGAAATATTAATCCTTTTCCAAATGGGTCAATTTGAATTTCAATAAATTTTGAATCAATATAATATGATTTTTAGGTAATCAATGAATAAGTAAATTTTCTCATTAAATTTTGGGTTTCGGAAATAATTATTATCTATTGTTATCAAAACATATTTTATCTATTTTTATTAAAAATCCTAATTTACAATATTTTATTTAGCAGTTATCCTACTGAAAATTATTGTTTAATATAGTGCTTCTTATTATTAAAATCTAGAAAATTTTAAAATTTTAAATCAACTGAATTTTAAACCTGTATTTTTTTAAGAGAGCAACATAATGCACATTTTCAAATTAAATAAGATAAATTGATTACACAGTCTAAGGAGGTAAATGAGAGAAAATGCTATAAAACTGTAGAGATTCATGAAAATATTACGTAAAATTTTTCTACAACTAAATATTAATTTGAATTTCAAATAAATTGTCTAGTTTTAGGAAAATAAAATATATAAAACTAGTAACCACCTTTTTATTTTATATTACACATAGTTTTTTATTTCCAAGCCTGACTTGTGAAAATAAAAATAGAACTTAATTTTATTATTGTACAAAAATATAAAATAATTTTATTACTCTTTTTTAAATGATTAAATTTTTCATTACTACTTTTATATATAAAATGACAAGTAGCCTATTATCTTACTTATATATATATATATATATATAAAATTTTGTCAAGTACAAAAATATTTTTATATTGAGATTTTATTGTCGTTCTCTCAAAAATCTTTCTATAAGAAGAGTGAAACTGAAAATAAGAAAAGGTAAACGAAGAGGATAATTATTAACTATACTAAATATATAGATATATGATTAAATTAAAGAATTGATTAATTATTTATATAAATTATACACGTACTATACTGGCTTTTTAAAATTATATATTTATTATATTTTAATTTAAAACTATAGTTTTTTTTAATCATGATTTAAAACAATAGTTTGCAGTTTCTACTATCCCCTGAAGGAATGTGTTTTGGCCAAAAAAAAAAAATAAAGAGAAAATTGCGAAAGGATATATTTTGAAAAATAGTAAAAATTAGAAACTAATTAAACTTAAAAATCGGAATTTGAAGTCTTGAATCACAAGCTTGCGCCTCAAACAAAGCATTAGATAAGAGTTGAGTTGCCAAGTCAAATTAATTAAAAAGATGATTATCTCCTTTTTCCTTTCCTATTTTCTTTTTCTCCCCTTCCTTTTTTTTTTATTATTATAAGATCAGCATTTTGACGGTTAGGATTTAATTTTTTATTGATTTAAACAGAAAATAAGAAAGAGAGAGAATCGTGCCATCATCAAGTCACAACATCAACAGAAGCCACAAATCTGCAGCTAATTTTCTGTTCATGATATTATATTTTCCTTTCTCGATTTTTCGCGCCACTCAGACTTACCCATCTCCTTCTCTTTTCTTATTCTTTGCCATACTCTTCTTCTGCAGAAGCTCTCAATGATCATTAACTCTCTGATAAGGTACGTCCAAAGAAACAATTAATGCAAAAATATGCCTGGACTCATCACAGAAGAAAATATAATGCCAGTTCTTGATAAGTAAGAAATTGAAAAGTGGTGCTAATTCTAGAAATTCCAATTCATCAAGATTTGGTTGTAGCTTTGACATCTTTAGTTTAAACCGAGGAAGATGAGTTTGTACCTTGCATTTAAATTTATGCTTGTTGAATATTTTTGCACTCACGTGTTTTGTTAATTCTGTTTTCAGATTTACCACCCTTTTAAAAATTGAACTACTGATTTTATTCGAACAAAAAAACGTTGAAGAAATTTTTGTTTTTAATGGGAAGGTTTTAATTCTTTGGAGTTTTCATTATACGTCACACAATATATTCAAGGAATATAAAAGTGTCCAGGAGATGCCACGTGGTTAATTCATTAGAGTTTTTTTTTTTTGGGCATTCAGGGACTATCATGGGGCTTTCCCTCTTTTTTTCTGAACTCTTCATGAGTACAAACTATTTAGGAGAGAATTGAATGACTGTCTTAAAAAGATCCCTTCATCTTGTTAATCTTGTACCTCTTGTTATTTTACCGGGGAGTTTTATTTATTTTTTATAATTTCATAATTATTTTTTCCTTTATGATTTACTTGAATTCTCCTAATGTGAGCTTCCTAGCTAATAGGTTTTAGTCAGGTTAGACTAGTAATGCTTTAAACTTGATAAATTGAATAATATTCTTTTTTATTCTTGATTTGAGGTATTTCTTGACTTCTTTATCAAAATTTGTTATCTGCATCTCAGGAGCGATGTAGATTATATGATTTACTAAGATGAGCCCTTATTTGAAGGTGGAACCTGGCCTAAAAAATTGGGTTGACGAGGAGAACATACATGTCTCTTTATTTTCGGGGCAAAAGGTTCTGCAATCTAGAACTAGCAACAAGGATAATCCTTATGAAAAGGAAGCATTGCCAACTGAACAGACTACTTCCTCTGGAGGAGATGAGGATGTGGAAGTTAATATAACTGGGGGTGCAAAGTCTAGTGAGGCTTTGATAATGAGAGATTCTTATGATGATGTCACTGAGTCTTTCAGTTCTTTTAGTGATTCCGGATCTAGCACAGAGAATACTTTACTATTCAGTGATGATGAAGTGGTATCACATATTTATGCCAACAATCCATTCTCATCCATGTTTTATCAATATTGTGAGCCATCTCTAAAGAGGTTTGTTTTTGTTTTGATTTCTTTTCATGCATGTCTTCTTTGTCTTGCTTGCAAGAACTAAGAAAACAAAACTGGAAGAAAAGAGATAAGATGAACTTCATACCATATAATTTTACATGTACCTATTCCTAATTATCCACATGCATTCAGGGGTTCATTATCTCTGATTATTGATTTATCCCATTAAGAAAAGTGGTATAGTCTAGCTATAATATTTCCATGCCGACAACTTGGCTCTCATACTAAATATGATGAAGAACCCTGCCCCAAAAGCTATTTGTTGAAGTGAGATAAGAACCTATCTAACTACCTTACTGAATATCTCATTCTACCCAATGTGGAACTTGGTATCCCTTACTACAAAGTATTCATCTATTGGCCACTATGGAAAGTTGACATCCTAATGGCTGTACTCTATGACACTTAACTCAGCTTTCCATAAGTCAAAATCTTTCATGGGTAATCCTCTTCGGAATTATTGACAACCTGATTTTGATACCAATTGATGAATACTTGAGTGGAATAAGAAATTCTACCTAAAACGCTAATTGTTGAGATGGAGAACTAAACTATTTAAATACTCATTAAGTATCCCATATTACTCAATGTATAACTTGGTATCCCATACTACTAAGTCTCCATCAATTAGCCCTTCATGGAAAGCTAACTCATACACATATTATATCATATTCAAGAGCTCTCAATTTCATTCAATGGCATTTCATGATGACGATGAACATTAACTCTCAAAATTAATGGTAAAATATACCTTCACCAATCACAAGTGCAAAAGAAAATAATATAATACCAAGTCAAGAAATAAAAACTTGATAAGTAAGGAATTGAAAAGGGACCCAAAAAGGGGGTGTCGATTTTAGAAATTCCAATTCAACAAGCTTTGCTATTACAAGTACTTAAATGGGATGGGGAACCCTACCTTAAAAGTTATTTGTTGAGATAAGAGAACTAACCTCATGATACTTAACTTGGCCTTCTATCGATCAGAACTCTCTATGAGCAGCCCTCCTTAAAACCGTTGATGACTTAGTTTTGATACCAATTGATGGGTACCTAAGTAGGATGGGGAATCCGATCCCAAAAAACTAGCTATAGAAATTATAGAATCAACTTACTTAAATACCCTATTGAGTACCCCATATTATTCAATGTGGGAATTAATATTCTGTATTATCAAGTTTCTATCAATTAGTCCCTATAGAAAGTTGACGTCCCAATGGCTACACTCTATGGCACTTAAATTATTGACTTTCTGCTAGTCAAAACCTTTCATGGGTAGCCAACAACTTGATTCTAATACCAATTAATGGGTATCTAAGTTGGATAGGAAACTCTACTCTTAAAAGTAGTTGTTGAGGTGGAAAACAACTCACTTAAATACCCTATTGAACTTCCCTACTATTCAATGTGGGACTTAGTGTTCTATACTACCAAATCTCCATAATTGGCCCTCTATGAAAAGTTAACATTTGCATTCCATGGCACTTAACTCGGCTTCCTGGTGGTCAAAACCTTTCAAATGTAGCCCTCTTCAAAATCACTGACAACTTGACTCTAATACCAATTGATAAGTATCTAGGTAAGATGGAAAACCCTACTTCAAAAACTAGCTATTGAAGTGCATAATAAACCCACTTAGATACCTATCAAAAACAGTGACAATGTTGGTGAAAGCTTATATTTTCCGATCAGGTTGTAAAAACGTTCCTTGGGTTTTGGTGCTGTAATATCAAATTTTATGTTTTGAAATCTTAATAGTTAATGATGCATTACTTACTATTCATTTGAAAGCTTATATTTTCCGATCAGGTTGTAAAAACGTTCCTTGGGTTTTGGTGCTGTAATATCAAATTTTATGTTTTGAAATCTTAATTATTAATGATGCATTACTTAACATTCATTTTATGTAAGATGGCCTTTTTGTAAGTACAAATTTTAAATTTATTTGTTGACATAATTAAGCTACTGATTTGGGTCATATTTTTCTTCAAATGACATTCTTTTGGTTGATATGAGTTTCATAAGATTACCAATTGCTTACATGGTTTGTTCTATTAAATGTTCAGGAGGAAGAAGTTGACAAGTCATTGGAAGAGTTTCATACGTCCTTTGAGGTGGCGTTGTAAGTGGATAGAATTACAACTGAAGAAACTTCGATCTCAAGAACTTAAATATGAAAAAGAAATTGCAGCATATGATTATAGAAGGCAGATTATGTCAGCAAATTTCGCATCAGATGGAATTGATACCAAGTTAGCACCTCTAACTGGGGGAATTTGTGGGAAAAAAGTAATGAAGAGGAAGAAACGGAAGAGAGTTGAGGAGACATGTAATTTAGCCTCTTATACATCTGACCATCGTGTGCTCTCATATTATGGTATGAAGTTTCTGGGTTGGTTTCTGTTTTCAGTTTTTATTATTGCATATTTTATTTACAGTCATAATCAAATATCCCTATTTTCTTCTCTAATTTTACAGAAGAAAAGTACTCTGCTAGTCATGCTCCTTTGAAAAAAGCCAATAGTTGTTTGAATAATGTCAAAGGAGTTGTTGAAGGTGAGTACCAAATTTACAATATTTGACACGCTTATATTTAAGTTGTGGATGAAAAAGTTCAAATAATTCTTTTGCAATATCATTGCTCACACCTTTCTTTGTGTTTCATTGATAACAGCACGGAATCCTGAGAGTAATGAAGAGATCAAGTGTAATGATGACATATTCTCTCATCTTGAGAATGATTTATTGTCTTCTATTGACCATAATGATACTGATAAGTTCTTGGTGAGCTTCTTTGAAAAGATTGAAGCGGCACAATCTGAAGTTCTCAATTTGAAAACTCGTATTGATAAGATTGTTAGTGAAAATCAAGAGAAGTCCAATCATGTAAATAATTTGAACATGCTAAGGCCATCTGATGACTTGAATCTGTACAATCCAAATTCTTCTTCTCCTGACAGAATCAAAAACACATTTTCAGCTAGAAATCAGTTCATGGAAAAAACCAAAGAATCAGTTAAAGTGCGGAAATCAGTTTCCCCTCCGGACTTTGTTGCCAAGAATAATTCTGTGCCTAATTTGCTGTCTAACAATTTGAAATTTTGGTCTGCTTCAAAATCCAATGTCTCTGGGAAGAAAAGGGGGATGAGGAAGAAATCTGGCTCAAATTGGTGGACTGGATCTAGTCTGGTTAAGCCAAATTTGAAAAGATAGTTATCAATCAAGATTGCCAGAGAACAGGAAATTTCATTTAGATGTTGACAACTGCTTCTGCCAAACGTGTAAATTCTGGTTGTGTCAATTTACATATCCTTTATCTTCCATCAAGAATAGTTCAACTTTGCTTGGTGTCAAAATGCAAATCACCTGATTTTCTTCAAAGGAAGCTTTCATTCCACTTTGTTAGGTGATGATTTATATTCATAGGGATACTATTTCTTGATCATATATATTTCCCAAGGCCTCCCTTTTTTAAGAAAAAACATAATCATTAATCCCTATAATTTTATTGGATTTTGTTTTTAGTCTGTAGTTTTTTTAGTGTTTTCTGTTCCTATAGTTTTGATAAAATTAAATGAAATCTATTATACAGTTTCAATGTTTTCACACTGGAAAAAAATATAAATACTAAAAGTAAAATCTAATAAAACTATTGGGATTAATGATTGTATTTTTTTTTTTAAGGTTAGAGATTATAATAATTTGACTCTTCAAATCACGTTTACCAGCAAGTGACATTGAACATGTACCTGCGACAGGAGCATAAGAGTTGTGTAAACAATAAATGTTATTCATTCTGACTTGGGCCGATATCATACTCGTCATGCATCTTCCCTCCCTCTGTTATTTGAGCTCATTTTTAGCTTCACATTGATGATTTTTAGATCAATTCGAAGGGAACGCGCTTTATCAAAATATCTTATAGCACCATTATGTATTCTCTACACATTATCTTTGTCGAGTACTGCTCAAGTTCTCTAAGGGACTGAAATGAAAAGTGCTTCTCATGCATGAAAGGATTGTGAAGGAGCCTATTTTTCTTGTGAAGGTTATTATTGTTGTTGTTGTTGTTGTTGTGCCAAGGATTTATGAAAGTTGATTTTATGCTCTGAGATATTATGTGATGTCTTAAACACTTTGATATTACATGTAATTTGGATAGCAAAGTAGGCACTTAAATTTATATATTTGTTAAATTTAGTTTCAATCAAACCAAAAAAACTAAATTTTAAAATTTAAAATAAGTTAAAAATATTCATAATGAGAAATAGTTGCAGGATGAATAATATAAAATAATTCCATGACACTGAGCGTGGAATAAAAGAAACTCCACTAAAAATATAAGTAATAAAATATATAATTTTATATTATGTATTATGATAAAAATTTGAAATTTAAAATAAAAGAGAAAATGATAGGTTATCAATGAGAGGTTGGCACACTGAATGTGGACTACAACCCTCAAGAAAGAGAACTTAGGTTTGATTCTTTAGAATGACCCTATTTAAAGATGGCAAGTTCTATGACAAATAAGGGTGAACCTAGGTTTATCCGAAGGGGCATTGTGGCCTCTCGAACTTGTCCACCCCCTTAATATATATTAAGAGTATAGCCAATTGATAGTAAATGAGGAATTTTTGGGCTCCCAATCCCAATTTTTTTTTTAAAAAAAATCTTTCAAAACACACTCACACACATATTAATATTCATACACTAGTGCTCTATGCACCTATATATGCATGTATTTATCTAGTTTTATTTATATGACATAGAGAAAATTAATTTTAATCCTATTTACATGTCATTTTATTATTTTTTATATTCACATTTACTTTTTTTGGCCTTCTTAAATACTAGAACAAATTATTACAAATAATTCCTTTGACTTTGTTAGGGGTAAAAGAGGTAAAAATTTATTCAATTTTAATACAAAATAAATAAAGTTTAAGGTTTTCTTTTTTTTTTTCCTAATATAATATACTGAAAATGACTTATGAATATAATTGAAAGGGACCAACAAGAGTGGGGTCTAATAGAAGAGGTTAGTTCTTCACAATGTGATGAATCAAAATTTAAATCCTATTAAAAGATGTGCTTACATTTAGTGCTCGAGTGTCTCAAATAGGCTTGCTTTAAAAAGAAAATACCTATGAATAATAGAAAAAACAATTGGATAGAGGATATATGATTGCTTTAATTATTTTTTATTTAAAAATATGATATAATTATAAGGTATTATTATCTAATAAAATCAATTATTCCAAATATTAATATATATATATATATATATTATATAAATTAATTTTTTTAACAAATTTGGCCCTCCTCTATATGTACCTTGATTTTGCCCGTGAGGGAGATGCCCTCTCTACTACATTGTTAGCTGCCACAAAGAGCTAAAGCCATGGGGACACTTCGAGGGGCCCCTCAATTGCAAAATGACTAATTAGGATGGGTATCAAGAAAAAAATAGAGAGAGAAAATAATAAGTTTTAAAATATTAAATTAACGGTATATAAGTCTTGATGTATTATTTGTAATTAAAATTCTTAAATTTATAATTATTTAAAAATATTTTTTAACTTATTTTTTAAAAATTTCATCAAGAAAACATAACTTTACATCCATGTATTTTACTCATAATTTACTATTGGTTCATATACTTTTTTTTAGTGTTTTGGTTGCTATATTTTTATTTTTTATTATTTTAGGTTCTTTTAAGATTTTTATACTTTGTTAATGGAGAGATTTAAAGCAATAAAAAATAAAATATAAAGATCAAAAATATAAAAAAATACAAATATTAATAACAAAATATAAGTAAAACATAAGGTTTAAAGTTATATTTTTTCAATTTTATCCAAACATAAGTTCATTAATAATTCTCCCAAGACAAAATACAATATTTTTTATTTTTTTAAAACGGAGTTCAAGTTTAGTATGGACTATTCACTTAGGAAAATGGAGCGTGAAAAAGTTCAGGGTTTTGGGTTTTGCAAGATCCTTTCCTTCTTTGGGTTTCTTCATTTTCCAATTCTTCATTTCGAGTTCTTACGAGACTTGCTTGAAAAACGAAGACAGCGACGAAGAAGCCATGTGGTATTTGTGTGTATTCTATCACAGATTATTGGATTACAGGAAACCCGAAGTAGAATCACTTGCAGAGCTTTTTGGTGCTTTTGGGGACGACCAAAATGGCGACGAGTTTTGCTGCAAAAATAAATCTTTGCAGTGGAGACTTCCTCTACACCACCACGAAGATTCTCCTTTCCATTTTGTCGATCTTCCATCAGAACCCGTTGCTCGAAACATTGCCAACCGAAGTGAGTTTTGGTTTTTCACCTCTGTTCCCATTGCTTTTGATCTGGATTTCATAAGGTTTTGTTTTGTGCTGTGAATCAGTTATGTGGGTTTGGTTTGACTTTCATGTTTGCTGGAAATTATAGGTATACTTGTAAAGGGAATGTATGAGCTGTGGGGTGAAGGAGATAATTATGAGGAATTGAAGGATTCCATCTTGAAATTCCCAGATGACATGAAGTTGCCATACTTAGATTCTAACAGCACTTTCAAGATTACTGTTGATAGCTTTGGGAAGGTCATGAGCCTCCAGGAGCAAAAGGAACTTATTCAGGGACTTTCATATATTCCTTTCAAGGTGGGTCTCCTTTAATTTTATTGTCTTTGCATTAAAATTTTGGTGCAATCTTTTGATTCAGTGTATTGGGCTTTTTCTTCCCCTTAAAACAGTACATTTTCTTCATAGTCCTATATGGACAGCTTTGGTTGAGTTTCTTTTAGATAGAAAAACTGAAATTTGGGGAGACTCACTTTTTTAAGAGTCTGGATTTTGAGTAGCATGTTGCGTGAGAGGACTTTTTGTAGTAACATGGCATCCAGCTGCTGGCTCCTTCATTAGTGATTTAATATATTATTGTTAACATTTTAAAACGCTACTTGAGTCATTGATGTGCATTGCCATTTTGTAAAAGATGATATTATCTATTCTTGTTTTTGAAAACTACACTATAGCTTCTGTGAGAAGATTCAATTCTTTCGTTATTTAATCTCGAGCAGCTTTTTTACCATTATTTCCCTGAACTTTTCAAACTATTTTATCTGTTTGTATTTGAGCCTTCCCTATTTCGCTTAGCCTCATGTTGGTTTCCATTTTGAGCTTGCATGAAGGCTTCCTAAAGATTTATTTACTTTTTAGCTTATGAAGTCAAGCAATTTAATATGCATATAGTCTCTCATTATTCATTACTCTTCCTTTATCAAACTAAATTCTTTACAAAATTGTATCCTTTCTCTGTCATTTATTTGCAGGGACAAGTTAAGTTAAAAAATCCTGATCACAACTTCTGGCTTATGGAAACTGATGATTATGGATCCAATAATGGCCTCCCTCCAATTGTCCAAAAGCGAATCTTCTTTGGTCGTGAAATTGGTGGTGCTGATAGGAAGCTTATACCTACATATCAGTTGAAAAGCCGCAATTATCTTGGGCCAACAGCCATGGATGCTGAAATGGCCTTTCTAATGGCCAACCAAGCACTTGCTACACCAGGAAAACTGATATATGACCCTTTTGTTGGAACTGGAAGCATTCTTGTTGCTGCAGCCCATTTTGGAGCAATAACCATGGTGTGCTTCTCTTTCTTCTTCTTTGGGTGACTTCTTTTGTTGTTATTTACACTGCTTTGCTCTTTGAAGACTGAAAATGTATGCATGCGTGCAGCAGAATACCTTTAACATGAATGATATAAACTTTTTAGGGTGCAGACATTGACATTAGGGTAGTACGTGATGGGCGTGGACCTGACTGTAATGTTTGGAGTAATTTTAAGCAGGTAAATGTGCTAAATGCTATTACTATTATGATTTGGTATGTGTGGAACATTATGTTCATTTGATCAGTTTAATTCAGCAGCAACATACATATCTGAATATGCATCTTATAAACTTAAATGTGCATCTTGCAGTACGGATTGCCCATGCCAATAGCTCTATTAAGGGCTGACAATAACCTTCCTCCCTGGCGTCCAGGGCTAAAAGAGGTAACTTTCTGAAATAATTTCTTCTTATCTTAACTGTGATTAATTTTTTGTCCAGTCTGTATTGCTTTCTAATTTGGCTCTTATCTATATCATCTCTCAATTCTATCATAAAGATAATTGATATCATGTGATTGTTTGTGCCTTTTATCTCAAGTAAATTATCAATCTTGATATAACATTTGTAGTGGTTGATTTTTTTCTTCTATTGTAGTAGTCCTCTGATATTCTTTAATTTTTCTATCATTACATTATGTGAGGGTTTGATTGGTTTCACTGTAAATTTTGTTTATAACCCCTTTGAGCAGTAGACTTGATGCTAGATGTGTTTCCTGCAAGGACTGGGCCTATATTTTCTAGACTTGGGTCTTTGTGATCTTACTTGTAAGCTTTGGCTTTTCTGTCAAGTGTTTAAATTAAGATTTGAAAGTAAATAAATTAAAACGCTTTTTTCACTCGATAATTTGAAATATGTCCCGAAAAAAAGATTTGACAAACTACCTTAGAACCCTCCCCTTTCATTTGTATAATAATTGTATTGGTTGTTTTATGTATATGACCACATCTTGACTACATGGACTTGCTGATTTTCCTCGAATAAATAACTGCAAATCTAAAATCTTGCTATTGGAAAATAAATGTGTCTTATTTCATCACGTCGCAAACTTGCTAAAGACCCTATGGCCTCTGGCATTTGTACGCGTAACATTTTTTCCATTGGGAAGTTTAGTCCAGAGGCTGAAGCATATTGAGGTTATCTGGAAGAATGACATACCAAGAGATGGGGGGATGTTTAAGAAAACATTGCAACTTTGAATATATGTTTTCTTTCAAAAGGGGGAAGGATTAGTCTGATCAGGTGCAGATCCTGACTCATAAAGTTTGTCGTGACGTCACTGCATTCAATTCAAACTCTATGCTGTGTTGGAAATGTTGTATTGAAGAAGATGTATTGGTTAGAATTACTATTGCCCGGCAAAAAAGGTTAGATTCTAATGGGATTAGAATAGTGCCTAACAAGTTCCTCTATTGAATTAATGACTTAATAATTCCAGACTGGGTTGATAGAGAGGAAAACATATTATAGATGGCTAGGAGCAATATCGGAACATGAAGCATTTGTGAATTAAGCATAAGCGTAAAGTTGGCTAACAAAATACGGACAAGCACTGGATCCAGGAAGGAACGGGGATCATTAATCCTAACTTTGTTGACAATATCCGGCTTCAATGAAAAGTTACATGCTTTTGATAGGTCGCTTTTTGAAATATATCAGAGTGAAAAAGAAAAAAAAAAAATTTCCCACCAACTTTCAATCTCAGTTGCCCCAGTCTGGGAACTGAGATTTGTTGCAGGAAATGGCCAAGTCTGAGAATTCAGATTGGAAGCAGTTTAGTGGGGGTAAAAGAGAATGCATGAGTACATGACATATTTATCCAGTGTGTTGTGGAGCTTAATTTGTAAAACATGGTTTAAAGACTCTGCAAACTTGTGCCATTGTTTTTTTTTTTTTTTGAAAATTATCATTTGCCTAATTCATCTTCGTAACTTCTTCTTTGTTGTTTTAGACATACTGTTTTGTCAATTCATACATAACTTTAATGTCTATTATAATAGGTATTTGATGCCATAATATGTGACCCTCCTTATGGAGTTCGAGCAGGGGGTCGCAAATCCGGTGGCCGGAAACTGCTCAAGGGGGCAGTGGAACCTTATGTTGTTCCTGATGACAAGAGGACAGACCACATACCGTCTACAGCACCCTATAGTTTAGCTGAGTGCGTGCACGATTTGCTTGACCTTGCCGCCCGGATGCTTGTTCCTGGGGGCAGGCTTGTGTTCTTCTATCCTGTATTAAGAGAGGATGATTCTGCAGAAACCCATTTTCCTGAGCATCCATGTTTCAGACTGATTTCTTCTTCCGAGCAGATTCTTAGCTCACGATACAGCAGAGTTCTGTTGACCATGGTGAAGACAGGCTCCTACACAGAGGAAATTGCTGAGGCAGCCAGGATCAAACATGTTGAGTTTAGGGAAAACCATCTAAAGTGGTTAGAAGACGGTAACCTTCACTCTGCAGTTTTCAGTCCAGCTGATGCTCAGTTTACAGCCACGGGTGATTCCAAATGCAGTAAAGATCCAAAACCTAAATACAGAGGAAAATATGTTTAGCTTTGATACTGTAGTGTTCAGTGTCCAAGAAGCAGGGCAGATTGAAGCCAGTATGCCCACATTCTCAGTTTTGTTTCTTTTATTATGACATTCTGCCTCACTTCATAGCTACTCCCTTGGCACCATAATATAAGACATCTTTTAAAAGTCTTACTTGATCTAAAATATAGTACATTGGATAACTTTTATATTTATTTTTCCAACTATACTCATACTTTATTTATTATTCTTTTTGAAAAAAATCATGTATTGAAAATTTAAATTACTATTATCAATGCTCTTATATAAGATATTTAATGAGGATATAAATAAAAAGATATGGACATTTTTATAAATTTAAGATTTCAATTATAATTTATATTATGGTTCGAAAGAAGTACCTCTTTGGTGCTTACTCTTGTAATGCTTCATTTTGAAGCCATATTGCAACTATAGCTTCTATTTGATGGGGGAAAGAATTACTTAAAAGGTATACCTTCAGTCATGAATACTTTTTCCAATTCTAAATTTAAGGTTCATTTGATGGCTTTGATTTGGTTGTGAATATAAGGTCTCATTCCCTCTATTAAATTTTTATTTTCTATGATATTTTTATTCATTGAGGCGTTTCTATCCCTACACTTTAAATTTTAATCATTAAATGGTAGGGATATTTTTGAACAAGTGTCGCAAGTTTTTTACATATTTTTTGACCAAACAATTTTTTTACATATTAATTACAACTAATCCATTTACTTCGTCCGATTCAAACTATAAAACACTTGCAATTGTATTTTACATATTGATAAAAGTAGTGATTTCCTTACTTCCATGAAAAATATATATTATCCTTTTTGCCTTTATTTTCTTTACTATGAACAGTGAGAAAAAAGTGTTTATTCAGATTATATTTTTCTTGCTCACATTAATCAATACAAGATTAACTTTGGAGGCCACTGTTTTTTTTTTTAAAACAAAAAACTTGGATGTCATCAAAAGAGGTGAGTTTTTATGTAATTTAGAAGTATCTAAAAGGGATAATTTCAATAAGACCCTTGAATCATATTTATTTAAATTTAGAACTCTTAAAATTTTGAAATTTCACTGTAGTTTGAGAATATTGATTTGATATTAAATTTTTTTAAAAAAATATAAAATTGCTCCTCATTTAAGTCAATATCAAAATTGCTCTGCTTCATTTGTTGGTTAAGTATAATTATGTTTGAAATTAAAAAAATTAAGATTAAATTAGCCTGATAATTAATGAAATAAATTTGTTTTGTAAAAATAAATATTAACTTTGTGAGGGACAATTTGAAAAAAATGTGATAAACACTTCTTGAAATTTTTAATTTTGGTTATAAATAAAAATAAAGGGGGAGGGAGTATGAATCAAGTGAATACGAAGGCTAACCATAATTTATCCTCTTTTAACATTTTCAATTTTCTTACACACATCATGTCATTGCTTATATTTCTCCTTGGTTTTACGTGGCCATTCAAATTTCATTGGTCTTCCTCATACCTTCCAAAATGACACAATTATAACCAATTAGTCTTTAATTTATCCATTATAAGATTTTAAATCTTTATTTAGAAATTCAGGATATTATTGAGACTCTATAGCGCAAAATTGCATAACTAAATGGTTAGTTTTCACCTTGAAATACAACCATTTAATAATAGATATTTAGTTTTATAATTATGTTAAATTACTAATCTTACTTTCAAAATTCTTTTTTTGGTTCTCTGCGTACCCTCAAATCAAGGGTAGCACAGTGTTGTTCCTCCCTCATATATTAAAAATGCAGCAATGCTGCACGTTGGTTAAATATCCTTTAATTTGATAGTTAGTTGATTAAAAAAAATACACAAAATGACTAAAAAAATTACAAAACATAACCAAGAAAATTATTGAAGAGGACCTTATGAAAAAATTAATATTAAAGTATCCTAAATTACAAATAAATTCTAATAGACTAATGTTATTTCTTATACTCATAAAAAGATAAAAATATCACTTTAACTAACCACTTTGATCAACTACTGGGTAATTATTAGATCACCAATGTTAAAAATATCAGAAAGTAATTAAAAATATTATATTTTGTTTTAATAAAATCTTATTAAATATTGAAAATTTTAATATTTACTAATTTAATTATTATTTATAAATATTCCTCCTAAATTTGTAAATACTTGTTATAGTCTTTTTTGTGTTTTAAATGTACATATTAAATAAAAAATTATACATATATTGTACATGACTTGCCATCATGGCATATATTTCAATAAAAAATTGTACATTAACTATCAACATTGAATATGTCTAGGGTTTTGTCATTTTGGATTTTCTCCGGTCTTCAATAAAAGGAAAGTTTGAAGAGTCACCCAAACCTGAATTTATTTTTTCAAGACTTAATAAGACCAAGTTTTAAAGCCCGATTATCAAAAAAATTTAAAATTTTAAATCAAAACCTTTCTAAAACAAGCTTAAATGAACGGCTCTTTAAGCCTAACGTTTAATTTTTAACAATATTGATACCATATAGTTGTATGAGTGAGATATGGGGCAAAAGGTTGAATAGTTGATATAGATAGACCTTTATAGGAAACTATATGCTATATGCATACACATAGATGTGCTTTTATTATCGGATATATATGGAGAGACCCAAAAACACTGGCATGGTGACGAGTGACCTAATTAACAGTAACAATGACAATAATGCATTGCATCCCTAATTTTGCATTCTCCTCCTCTGCAGCTTGCAGCTTGGCATTTTGGGTTGCATTCTTCATTTTTGCAGTTAGGAGATCGATTATCCTTGCAACATTTTATTCCCTCCTCTGCTTCTTGACCTGAAATATAATTTGTATAATAAGTCAACAATATATATGGCTTATAATTTCTTAATAATTAATTTGTAATTACAAAGGAAAAAAAAAAGAAAAACAGACCTGATGATAACATGATCATCAGAAAAAGCACAAGACAGAAGATTTTTGCAGAAGCCATTTTGAAAAATTTACTGGAGAATTGGTGTGTCAATGATGTTGCAAAAGAATTATGGGTGGGTTACTTATTTATACTAGTTTAGCACAACACCATTAATTAATTAGCTTATTAGCTTGTTCTAGAAATGTCACCGATTCATTTTTCAGTTAAGTTCATGGATTTCTTACCAATGTTAACAGTATTTAAAATAGTAATTAGCAAATGATTAGAAATCAAGGCACTATTTTTAGTTATCCTCTTAACTTCTTCCTCTCATTATTTTGTGGGAAAAAAGAAACTAGGAAATACAGGTCCTGTTTTGTCCTCTCCATTTTGGTTGTCGCCAAAATTATAACTTTTCCTATTAATAAAAACAGCTCATATTTATATTTTTCTTTTCCTTTTAACTAAAATCAAGTGTAGTACCTGTTCTTATCAGTTTAAAAACAAGTCCTGTTTTTCATTCCCTCCAATGTGAAAAATATTAAAGAATAAAAAAAACCTAAAGTTGTTTTTGTTTTCTTATATTTAAAAACAAAAAATAGAAATAAATTTTAAAATAATAGATATTTTGAAAACAACTAACTGAACAAGTTTTTGTTTTAAAAATTTAATAACAAAAAATAGTTTTTAAAATTAAAAATCAAATAGGCTCATAACATACACAATACAAAAGCAAGGCAGTTGTTCGGTATATTGAAAACATTTCTTTTTCTAAAATGAAAATATGAAAGGGAATGGAATTAGACTTTAAAATTAAAGTACGTTTGGCGTGTCAAAGAAAAAATCAGTGGTGTTATTATAGGATAATTTTTGTTTGGCATACGTGCATTTTGATTATGGAACTGGAATGCAGGACTTAAGATTGCAAAAGACATTAATACCCCTCTAGTCATCTTCACACTTTTAGAACATATTTTGCCAGTAACATGGAACAATAGTTCATAATGTAAGTTTCCTCAAATCAAACAAATATAATAAAAACAGATCAGCAACATGAATAACCTGAAGTCCTGAATCCAATTATAGCCTATTTTAGGGCATGTTTAAAAGATTAGAATGGAATGGAACCGAATGTTTCACCCAAAAAAAAAAAAAAAAAGAGTGCGACGGAACGGTCACAAGTGGAATGGAAATGGAACTAAGAATATGGGTTAGCTTGAATAATTTATTATATGAATTGGTTTGAATTGCAAAAAAAAAAAAAAGGTTATTACCTAAATAAGAATGAGTTTTGATGATCATGTTACTGGCAATGGTAAATAAACAAATAATGTTGAAAATCAAAACAAGTGAAAAATTTCTTGTGCCTTAAAATTTGGCAAATAAGTCCTATAAAAATAAGTTGAGACTAAAAAATATTTTTAATTATGTTATAATGTGAATTTAAAGTTGTATGGAATAATAACATGTATTATATAGGTATATATATTTTTTTATTTTTTTGAAAAAGGAATATAAGTTAAATAGGTTGTTTAATTAGCTTATTTTTTTAGTTTCTCAATGTATCTCTACAATTAGCAATCATAAGACTAATTTTTTGAGGAGTCCCACTACCATTTAAGGAGTTGTCATCTTTCAAGAGATGCTCTCCATACACACAATCATGGGTCAAATTCTTGAATAATGCTTAAGGGGTTTAGGTTCTATTATCTATGTCACACTCGGTTGGTTAGTTAGTCCTTTTAATTGATACTATTAAAAAAGTACAAATTAGCAAGAAATTATTTATTCCTCTCTAAAATGTTAAAGTTGCAAGGGATGTTAATTTTATAACTTGACTTAAATTAGAGAGGAAAAATAATGAAGAATTATCAATCTTTATAAAATAAGCTAATTAGTAAGAAAAATAACGAAACATTTTTATACATATTTAAAATGAGAAAATTAGTGAGGGATTTAGTAAAAGATTCTATTTCTAACTAATTACTATAAAAAATTTTTGAAGACTTTTAATTATATACATAATTATTTTCATTTCAAAAATAAAAAATATAGTTAAAAATTAACTAAAATATTCATTAAAAATCATTTAATATTTGATTCATTTTAAGTTCATTTTCCTAACAAAAATAATATTTTATTAAAAATATAATATAAAGAATCATATAAATGTAAATATAAATTATTTTATCATACAAACAATTGAAAATAAAATATAATATACATGTGAATTTTTCAAAATATATTATTTGATAAATGCATATAGTTAAGTAACATATATTTAATTTTTTATATAATAACCATATGTATATTTCAGTTCAACTAAGGCTTGGAAAGTACAGAAGTTAAATATATACATGTTTAGTAAGGGAATGTATTCCATTGTTAAAATTAGTAAACTTATTTTTGGCTATAAAATTAACAAGAGATGAAATCACTCACTAATTCCCATCTAATAAGGGTCCCTCTTCGGTGCTCGATGAGTTGCTCATCAATCAAAACAAAATTGGGTCCAGACTTTTATAAATTTAAATTTAAATTTATTAAAATAAAAATTTATAATTTTTTTTATAAATATGCTCATCATCAATTTGGATAGTATTGATCTAATTTGGGTGATGTAATTTAATATCATAATTTTTTAAAATTAATTATTTATATCTACTCTAAATAGTCCATATTCAATATTAAATTTTTATCTGTAAGGTCCAGATTTAAGTTTTTTATTTTTTATTTTAATAAATATAATATTAAAAAATAAAATATATAATATTTTAACTATAACTTTTTTAAAAATATTTTTTTAAAATTATAAATTAAAAATTTTAAATATGAACTATATAGAATAAATTTGAATAGTCAATATGTAAAAAAACATAAAAATTATATTATTAAATTGGACCTCCCAGATTAAATATAGACTAGATCAGTCATAAAAAATTTATTAAAAATTTTTAATAATTTTTATAAATTTTTATTTTAAAAATATAAAATAAAAATATTAAATTAATTCCTTAAATCTGGACCATCCATATTAAAAATTTAGATGGTCCAGATTGCACAATCCTGATGAGCACCCAAGAACGATCCTTCTTTTTTGGTTACGGTTTAAGTCTCAAATTAGACAACATGAAATATTTAATTTGTGTCATGTTAATGAAGATTGAATGTAATTCAAAAGCCAAAAAAGTGTAGGATAATAAGGCAAAGAAGGGAAGAAAAGAACCCTGATGATAATATGATTATGATAAAGAACACAAGATGAAAAGTTTTTGCAGAAGCCATTCTGAAAATTAAAATTACTCAAGATTGGTATATTAATAATGGAAGAATATTGTAAATAAATAATATACCGAAATAATAGAGTCATGTCAGAGTCTTACTGAATCTGAACGTAATAAAATCTACTTAATTATCCACACGAATCAAATTACTAGAGTCCTATCTAAGGTATACTGAAGAAAGAAAGAGAGGAAGAAGAAGAAAGGTGTTTGCTTTGAGGTGAATTCTTTCAGCCACCCACTTCTATTTATAAGGCTGCTGCCAAAAAGAAAAACCCATTCATGATAATTTGCCATGTAATAGAGAGACTAATTTGATTAGAATAATTACAATAAATATGGGGAATGACTTCCTTTTTGGAACCAATCAGGAATTAGTTCCTAATTTCTGGTCAACCATAATCCATTCGGAATATGTTAGATCTTCACTGATTGCTCCAACATAATGACCAAATTCCCATCAAAGATGTCTTAGTAAATTCCAGCAAATGATGTCGAAAAAGAATTATGGGCGGGCTATTTATACTGTGCTTGGAATTTCTAATTGTTCAGTTTTGCTCAACAACAACATTTCTTAGCAAATTAACTTGTTTTAGAATGCAATTGATCCATCAGTTAGATTTTAGTTAATTTCAAGGATTTATTGTCAACATTAAAAGGATTTAAAATAGGATTTAGCAACTGATTTATAATCAAAATAATTATTTTTCGTAGCCAGTTTTATTGGATTCAAAAGTTCTGGATGGGGCCAAATTGGTATTTGTTAGATCTTGGGCACATTCATGTTATCCATTTGGATCTGACTTATGAGCCAAGTGGTGATACTCTACCGAGCACTTTGACCCAAGATATTGATACTTTAACTTGGTGCAACTCTATGTGTTTGCTAGATGATTTTCTTTTATCTTTTTTCCTTATAACTATTGTAGTCATTTAATTTTCCTTTTTCTTTTATTTTAGTGTATATATCTGTCAACTTGACTTTATTTAAAAAAAATAACTACTTTTAGTTTTTCTATCTAATTTCTTTCTCTCATATTTGCAACAAAGGCCCTGACTTGAAACTGCCACCATCTCTAATTATAAGAACCAATTTTCAAGGTTACTGTAATTAGAATTATTAAAAGACATTTTCACATATGTTCTAATGAATGTAATTATAAGAATCAATTTTTTTATTTCGACCAAAAAAAAGAATATAGTTAAACTCTCAAGACCGACTTCTTTTAAAAAAGAATTGAAAGTTTTTAAAGTTGTAACTATTATGACATATAATTGAGGGTAAACTTGGAAACAAAATAAATCTAGACCTCAACAAAAAATCTCATGTTTTCTTGATATCTCGAAATAAGAAAATTAGGCTTCCATACAGAGAGTGTATGTTGTACAGATTTTTTATGAGAGGAAAACATGTTTGGTGTGTAAAAAAATTATAAAATCCCAAGATAATTTTTATTCTCTCTGGTCCTTAATATAGGTTACTTTTAATTATCTCACTGAAACCAATAAAATCATTAGAATTGTCTAAAAATTAAATAACTTTTTTCAAAAATATTATATCCCTACTTAAAAGTATGATTAACAACAGACATTTTCTCAGTATGGTCGTAAACGAGAGCGATTTTTTAAAATACTAATTAAGGCTCGACCTTTTATTCAGCAACTAATACATAGGATTACTGATTTGTTTTAAAAAAGGACTCATATAGGACAGGCAATATTTATCGTTGGCATGTGTGTTTTAATGATGAAATGCACTGCCTTCTTTTAAAATAATTGTCTTTTTTACACATGTTAATTGCATTTCTTAATTTGTGTAATATTTTGAAACTGTTGAAGCAATA